ATCTATCTCTAGTTTTATTAAAAGTTTAGTCCAAATGCAAGTTACACTACAAGAAGTCGACTACAAGAAGGATCTAAAAAATTACTCATATTTTCTGCTCATAAAGTGTTGTAAGACAGTAGAAGCAGAAGGAACATCCAGCAGTTTTTGAAAATCAATTTCAGGAACGTCAGTGGCTTTAACCTGAAAATCTATGCACAGGGAATCCTCTTGTAAATTTATTACTCATAAAAAACGATCAAAAGCACGCCGAAGAACTAAATTAAAAAATCTTTAAAATTTCCATTATTTGAAAATGCATCAAACTAATTGAGAAAGCGGCTCTGAAAGCTCACTAAAATTAACACACTTCTAAGTTTTTAAACATATCTATGAAATCAATTTCGGTGTTTGGCCATAACTTGAGAATCCTCTGCAACTTTCCTTCCCGAACCCACTTTTCGCAAAAAAAACTATCCAGTAAACCACACGGCGACATATAAATTCCAAAATCATTAAACCATTCCAGAGTTATGTCTGAAAATAAAACCCTTTACTTTCCCTATTTCTCAATTATGAGTATTTAGAAAAGTAGAAGTAACAGAGTACGACCAAGTAGTAGAAACTGTTGTAGCTGCTAGAAATAATATTAAAAGATCCCCAATCTAATTGCAAAATAAAAACTGAGTGCTGCAAAATTAAATATCTATCAAATCAAAATTCTAATGCAACAAATAATCTGTGAAGAAATTTTTCTTGGAAAAAAAATTTGGTAGAAACAAGCCTTAGTAGACTAGCAAACATTTCCAAAATGGAAAAATCAAGATTCGCAATCTGCACACCATTTACGGCTTCTCCAGCACTGGTGTCTCTTTTCCGAAAAACTCCATCTTCGGAGTTTTGTGTACCCTTCTGTAACCACGCCATCATAACTCTAAAAACTTTTGTTTGATAGTCTCTCTACAAGAACTGAATGTATCAACAAGCATTTACTGACTCAAAACCGCTTTACTTATCTATAAAATGAAGAAGATTGGCCATAATTATCGTTAAGTCTTTACAAGCTTCACGATATATGCCAGTCCAAGTTGTTCGAAACCGATATAACAATTCCAATATATCTAATGCCTGCAACTCGGTGGTAAAGAGCGAGAAAAGCTAGAAAGTATAGAAGCACTGTAAAGAAGATATTAAAGTAACTTCAGAAAAAATTAAACCGAAAAGTGTTTCTCTTCAGCCAATCTTGTCACCAGCTGAGACAAAAAAAAAATGCTTCTAGATTTTTCTAGCGCTTCGTCGACTAAGCATTTTTTTTCTAGAACAGTTTTTGTTCTTCCCTCTTCCATAACACTCCATATTTCCTTCCTACAACAACTATAAGAAATTCAGGCTTGAAACTTGTTTAGATACAATAGACATTTAACAATTTCCACGCTATCACAAGTCAAAAAATAATAAATTTAAAAAATAAGGTCCTCTGAAGCAGTCCAGGAAGAACGTTTGAAAAACAGGCCGCAAGAAATGAAGGAAAAATAAACCTGAACCAAACGATTCTTTCGTCTACAGCAGCCAAAAAAGTACAGTAAGCCTTTGTTAGAGACTCTAATTTTCCCGAGTG